TGTCGCAGTCCTCACCGGTCTCTGGACCCGATACTCGGGGCCCTCTTCAGCCGCCAGCTTGCGGAGCTCCTCCGCAAGCCGGTCGGCTGGCGCCCTGGCGTTGAGGCCAGGCGGATCCTTAGAGATCCCGGGATCCCCAGGTCCGCCGGCTTGATTCGGCGTCTGGCCTCAGCCATGAACCGGCTGTATTCGCCGTCGGGATAAATGAGGGTGACTGCGGCCGACCTTGGCGGCCTCAGCCAAATCTTACTCCTCTTCTTCGCCCTCGAGATAGGCTGAGGAGGAGGGTCGCTGGGAAAGAGATTACCCCTCTTCTCCTCTCTCTTCCTCCTTTCTCTCTCCCTCCGGCTCAACACCGTGGTCCACCCTTCTTCTCCTCGTGGTTCCTTGGGCTGGGCCCTGTTGGTGGTGGTGGGGGAGCCCCTTTCAAGTCCCTCCTTTCTCTCCTCTCCTTTGGCCACCTGCGCATACGATTTCTTTTTCTGGAGGGGGCAAGATCCCCGGTCCCCGTTTCACGGGGCCCGGAGCGATCCCCTCCTTCCCACGGATGGCGGCCACCTGCCTCCTCCTCTCTTTCTGTCTTATCCTCTGCTCCTTCTTCTTCTGCGTCTTGATCCTTGGGATCCCGGGTGTCGGCCCTGCAGACCCTTTCCCCCCCACTCCCAACCGGGTCGGCTATTGCCTTCCCCGCCGGGAGGGGAGCAGGGTCGGGATCCCCAGGCCGCACCGCATGTCCCAGGACCAATTCCCCAGACTTGCCCTTCGTCAAGTCATCCCTCGTCAACGTGAGCCGAACAAGCTCCTCCGACAGGAACTCGTACGCCCTGCTTCCTGGAGTCAGGCCTTCCCTCTCGTCGATGCACTCTCCTATTGTTGCGGGTTGAATCCGATCGTTAACCCGTTGAACGCCGGGATCACCCAGATCTTGGGCGCGAGAGCGAGTACGACTGGAGCCGACGAGAGTCAGCCAAAGGACAGGACCGGTCGGTTCTCTGGGCAATAACTTGTTCGAGTCTCCGATTCCGATGCATTTTATTTGCGTTGACCCGGTACAGCGGCTTGTAGATCGCGGACAATGAAGTCGCGTATCAAGAACGAGACGGCGAAAGTAATCACGCGCCGGAGTGACGCGTTGTTCAGATTCAACGGTAGCCAGCGGAACTTGAGAGAATTGAGTTCGAAAACCGGATTCTATTGAACTCTATTGTCATGATATCGATCGTGATATTTATAATTTTATATCGCTGATGCGGCTCAAGCCGATTGGCAGATTTGTACACATCGTTGGTTGACTGACACAAAGATCTTGACGGTAAATACATTGTTTTGCCGTTAGTCACGAGACATTAGACTGCCGCACGTTTCTTCTGATGGAAAGAGCGTTATTGTCACCGACACAATGAGACAGTGTAACGCGCCGAGACAATACCAGGCGGCAAGACAAAGATCGAGCAAATAATTCGTTTGTAAACATGGGTGATTTGCCCGAGCGGTGACTCGCTGTTACCGGCGTCCAGCACACGCTCCGCGAGAATCCGCTGGACAATTTTAATGAGCACGCAGAACCGCCGATATGATTTTCCAATTCGGAACACCTATCCTTTTTGATAGTTTGTCGTACAACTCCCTGCTCGCAGCATCCAGTCTGCTGATCCGCAGGGAGTCGCCGAGTTCCACTCTCCGCCCCTGCATCTCCGGTCTATACACTTTTGGTATCGGTGCCGTGGCCTTCTCTCTCCTGAAAAAGCCCAAGTTATCATTATATACCATGGACCTACCCTCCTCCACCTCCATGTCCTCTGTGGAGTTGGCCTGCTCCAGGCCAACCTTCCTCTTCTTCAGCCGTTTCACCTTCTTCCGATACGACAGTCATCCTCTCTCCCGATCCGTCTCCGAGGGGTCGCTGCCGGATACCACATCGGCATATTTTCTTCTCCCGGCTGTTATTGGGGGAGCGGGAGCAGAAGCAGTACCGTTGGCAGTCAACCTGGCCGCACCGAGCTCCTCCTCGAGCTCACGGTTCCGCACCCTCACCCCCCTTAGCTCCTCTCTCAGTGCGGACATTTCCTTCCACGCTTCTGCGGCAGCGTCCTCTTCCCTATCGTATGCCGCAACCCTCGCGATAAGGGTCGACAGGACGGCCTCGGAGGTGGCCACAGCACGGTTCAGCAGTGCCTGATAAGTCCCCTTCAGGGTTCTGGACCTATGAGACACAAGCCGAACCGCGCCAAGAGCACGGCCAACCTCCGAGGCCAGTTCTGCTGACCCGGCCTCCTTTAGTAATGCCCTCGTGGCAGGGTCTTTGAAGACCTCCTCAGCGGTGCGCGTGTCCTTCAGAGTGCGACACATCCCCCGCTGAGGAGGTCCTCCACCTCCTTCTGCAGATCCCTACGGGCCACCACCTTCTTCCTGATGACCCCCATCTCCCTCTTATGCCGGAGACCAACTCCAACACCCGTAATGGCCTTTCTCCTTCTGTGATCCTTCTCCTGAGCCATCTCCCGCGCGATCTCCTCTACTTCCTTCTCTACGCCGGTTGTGCTGGCTGCGGTCACGTCCCCGACGGTCATCTGGCTGGTGGTCGCCAGGCTGATCGCCTTGCTCTCCGCGGCCGTTGCACCTGCTGGGCAGAATTTTCCTGTCTTGGGGTCTCTAGGTCTCACTCTAGACCCCTGGAACAGGATTACATCCGAAATGACCACTAGTTTTCCAGTGGTCCTTCCTCCCGCCCTCGCGTCCGCGTGACCCCCCATCGCTCGCGGGGCCCCCTCTTACCGCAAAGGGGGCCAGGTCGATTCACGCCCAGCGTCGTAGCAGGAGTTCTGGTGACCGATCCCTGGGCCGCTGCTCCTCCCACATTGGGTGGCCGCTCTGCTTCCCCCGAAGAGCTCACCACACCACCCTCACGGTTGAGGAGGTGCTTCCCATCCAAAGACGGGGGACCACTTCCCACGCCGCATGGCCGCCCCTCTTCTCTTGCGCGGGTGCTCACGTGGCGAGCCTCCCGATGGAGGCGGCCTTTCTGACTGGTGGTAGCCAGGGTTGCTCCCGCGTTGGACGACCGCCTTTTCTTCAGATCACGAAGGCTCGCCCTGCCAACTCCCCGGTGGGAGCGACCTTCCCGGTCGCAAGCGGCCGAGTTCAGAGACCGATTATGGTCTCCTCTATCGGAGGTAGGAGAGTGAGAGGAGGACACTCCACTACTCCTACTTCTGTAGGAGGCGTTTCCCCCCTCTGACGGCCCGTCGTCGGTTGCTGACGTGACAGGGATCGTGAACATGTCCCTGCCAGGACGCTCCGCGGTAGCCAATTCTACCTTGGGGGCCGCGGTGCACCCCAAGGTTAGCCCATCGCTGGTTGACGACGTGGGGGGAACTGGGACGACATTCCCACCAACACACCGGTTCCTGGTTCCGAGACCCAGGACGTCTTTTGCCATTGTAGTCATAGTATAATCCATCTGAGTGTCGGATTGTTACGAACCCGACCCACTCGGGTTTGAATTCGGGGTTTTCCTTTCCCTAGACCGGCTGCTTACACAAGGCTAACGAGCCCGCTCTGCCCGCGCTGTAGGAACCTTTGGGTCGCACGAGTGCAACCCTCCAGTTCCTGGGTAAAACCTGAAGGCAGCTGCCCCTCCAGGAGTATGGACGCTCTTAGTCTGGTCCCTCCGTACAGACCACCCCGGCATGATAGAACTTGCTAGGGGCCGAAACCCTCGCCGGTACAGCTCTGTATGTCATTGGGACACGTAAGCTCCCACACCACGGCAAGGTGGCGTCCACGGGGGAGACCTGACGTGAGCCTCCCCCTCGGCTGCCCAGGATTTCTAGGAGTGGGTGGTGGAGGAGAAAAGCGAATCCGACCATCGGTACATAACGTGGTCTCTTCGACTCCCCACCCCTCACCGGGTGCTGGACCGCTGCCCAGGGGAGGGAAACATTCCCCTCCCCAAAAGATGGGCCCTCGGTCGTCTGGACGCGGATAGGTTTCAGGCGGCCGTCCTCGCGGCCACCTGGCATCTCTATCAGAAGCCAGGTGAGTGGGACTCCAGCCCACCTCAGGAGAGGGCTAGGGAGGTAGTGGGCATTGTGGCGTCGGCGTGCGACGCCGCGATACCCCGGTCCCACCCCTGTCGGCACCGGGCTGCCTATTAGTGGACGCAGAAGATCGCAGACCTCCGCGACTCCTGCGTCTACGCTAGGAAGGTGTACACCCGGGCCCGGGGTGAGGACGCGGACGCTGCGGGGGCGGAAGAGGGCTACCTCCGAGAGAGGGAAGCCCTCAAAGCCGCCATCGCTGAGGCAAAGGATAGGGCCTGGGAGCAACTAGTGAGCTCCCTGGACGACTCCTGGGGGCGCCCGTACAAGCGGACGGTCGGGAAGATCCGCCCGTGGGCGCCCCCGCCAACGGAGTCTATGAAACCCCAGGACTTCGAGGGGCTCCTCGACACTCTCTTTTCGAGGGCGGAGCCCCCCCCCCAGATCCCAGTTCCTGAATTACAGGACGGGGACTGCGACGAGGACCTGAGGGTCTCGCCAGAGGAGTTCGCTAGGGCCAGGAGAAAGCTCGGGGCCAAGGGCAAGGCCACTGGCTCCGACGGAATTCCTGGCCGCGCCTGGGCTCTCGCCCTCGGCGAGGGAAACCTATCCGCCGCCACGCGGGAGGCACTCGAGGGGTGCCTCAGGGAGAGGGTTTTCCCCAGGAATGGAGGAGGGCCAAATTGGTCCTCCTCCCGAAGGAGAGCAAGACGCCCGGTAGGGCACGGGCCTACAGGCCTATATGCCTCTTGGATGAGGCGGGCAAGGTGCTCGAACGCATCATTGCCGACCGCCTCGTCTAACGTCTGTCCCTGAAGAGGCCGGACCTCCACGACAATCAGTACGGGTTCAGACCCGGACGGTCGACGCTGGATGCGATCCAGCATGTCCGGGACCTGACCTGTACCGCCGTGGAGAAGGGAGGCGGAGTGTTACTCGCGGTGTCATTAGACATCACAAATGCGTTTAACACCCTGCCCTGGCCGGAGATTGGACGTGCACCACGGAGTGCCCGTCTATCTCTGGCGCATCCTGTCGGCGTACTTCAAGGACAGGGACCTCGCCTACTATGGGAGAGGTGGGGTCCAGGGCCGACGCAAAATGGAGCGCGGTGTTCCGCAGGGGTCCGTTCTCGGCCCACTGCTCTGGAACATCGCGTTCGACCGGGTGTTACGCTCTCCCCTCCCCCTCGGCAGCCACGTAATCTGCTATGCAGATGATACGTTGGTGCTAGCCGAGGGGGAGGACTGGGGGGAAGCCCTCCTCCGGATGGAGGTGGCACTCGACTCGGTGGTAGACACCATCAGAGACCTTGGGTTCAAAGTGGCCACCCAGAAGACCCAGGCCATGTTTCATGGCCGGGGTCGAGGGAGGCCACGGAGGGCCCGGGTCCTGGTGAATGGAGTCCGCGTCCACGTCAAGTCTACGATTAAATATCTGGGCTTGACGTTGGACAGCCAATGGGGATTCGGGCCACACTTCAGGCAACAGGTCCCCCGGGTTCGCAAAGCAGGCATGGCGCTGGCCGGCCTCATGCAGACCCAGGGGGGCCCAGGTTGGCGGGCTCGTCGCCTGTACGTTGGTGTCATGCTCTCGATCGCCCTGTACAGGGCGCCCATATAGGCGCCCCGACTTTTAGTCACCGGCCGCAACAAGTGCCTGATGCGCCGCGGCCGGTGAGGGCGATCAGAGGATACAGCACCGTCTCGTACACGGCGGCGACCACCCTGGCCAACTCTCCTCCAGTAGAGCTCCTAGCTGAGGAGAGATATCTTCTCTAATGGCGCATAACGGAGCTCCGCGAAGGGTGAGGGGGATTAGCGGCCAGGGACCTGAAGGCCTTGAAGACCCAAGCCAGAGCCCTGGTCCTGGACAAGTGGTCAGCCGAATTGGCCGACCCGCGAGGATTTGGGCTCCAGACGGCCGATGCTGTCCGCCCCTGCCTGCCGGAGATGGCGGGCGAAAGGGGGCGGGGACTCTCCTTTCACCTGGTGCAGGTGCTGACCAGACATGGTTGCTTCGGAAAGTACCTGCACCGGATAGGGAAGGAACCCACCACCGAGTGCCACTACTGCCCGAGGCCTATGGACTCGGCGCACCATACGCTGACTGCATGCGAAGCATGGAGTCAGCAACGCCGAGTCCTGGCCCAGGCGGTGGGGTGCCAGGTGGAGGCACTTTCGCTCCCGCACATGGTTCAGGCCATGTGCGGGAGCGAAGAAGCGTGGGGGGTGGCGGCCTCCTTCTGTAGAGACGTTATGTCCCAGTTGGAGGCCGCCGAATGGGAGCGTCGCCCCCCGTAATAGACGGCGGAGGGAGCGGGGCTCCTCGAGATTAGGTAGCGGGCCCGTGGTGGCGCCGACCGAGGAGCCACCCCCGATTGATCGGGGGTCTCTTCGGCCGCTTCGGGTCCGACTTCGGACGCATGGGGAAAGGGCAACGGGAAGGGTGTGAGCCCTACCCCCCGTGGGCGCCACCTTGACGTGGTGGGGGGGCTTGCGTGCCCTGATGATGTACCGGCGGGGGCTTCGGCCCCTGGCAGGTTCTACCATGCCGGAGTGGTCTGTATAGAGGGGCCAGACTAAGAGCGTCCATAATACTCCTGGATGGGCAGCTGCCTCCAGGTTTTATCCAGGGTTTGGAAGGTCTCATTCGTGGGGCCCAAAGGACCCTACAGCGCGGGCAGAGCGGGCTCGTTAGCCTTGGCAGGTAACCGGTCTAGGGGAAGGAAAACCCCGAATCACACCTGTGTTGCAGGGGCACGTAAAACCCCTGCAATTTATGGTAGTATGTCGACTTGGGAGAAAAATGCCCCGGTACTCGGGGCCGGGGCACGGCGGGAGGAGGCATACAGTCCCGGCACCCACCCGTCGTCATCATGCGACGGGCCAGGCGTCGCGTGCCAGGCGGGCGCGCCGCCCGAATTGGTTACCGCCCGAAGGGAGGCGCTCTTGGACCGGCTGAGGCCGAGTGTGGGTCGGATGGACCCACCCTCGGCCTTTGTTGGTCCAAAAAGCGCCAAGAAAAGGAGACGCGAAGCGGAGGAATCCGCCTCACCACCGTGGCAGAAGGAGGGGGCGCACTTCCCTTCGCTCGGGGGCGTTAGTTCCCACCGAGGGGGGAGGTGCGGCCCCCCGTACGAGTGAGGGTGGGGAGGTATTCTCTGCCTCACAGAGATGGGATGAGCTCTTCCTAGGGGAGGAGTTTCCCCCGGTCGAGGGCGAAGAGCTCTCGGCCGTGGGGGCACCTCCCCGAAACGCGCGGGAGGGGGGAGCTCCGGGGTAGAGCGTTACGCACGCCAAAAGTGGGGTCTTCCGCCCGTGCGGAGACCCGCACTGGAGGCAGCAAGGGGGAGGGATCTGCTCGGGGAGGCCTTGCATGGGATCGACTATATAAAAACTCTCCGGGTAGATCCCACTATAAGGGCAACTAAGGGCTATGGGAGACCAGTAGAGGCCCTTAACGAGGGGTTCAGAGCATCCTTAACATACAGGATGCTCTCTCTGACTATAAAAGGTTGGTGGAGGAGGGCGGCCCTGATGGAAGACTTGAGGCCCTGGAAGTTCAGGTCCGGGGCCTCAAGTTTGAAATCGCCCGCATTGGGCGGCTGCTGGAGAGGTTCTTGCCCACTCCAGCAGCAGCAGCTCCGGGCAGCGGGGCCGCCCCCCTCCAGCCGCCCAGGGGACAGCCGGCTGTCACTGGGGTGGGAAGGGAGGGAGAGTGGACGCTTATATCCACTCGCAAGGGGAAAGGGAGTGGGAAAGGGGGGAAGGGGAAAGCTGAACCCCCCAAGTCGTTGGGAGGGGGGCACAAAGAAGGTGGCCCCTCCTCCTAACAAAGTAGGAAAGGTTGCGGGGAAGGGGGCCCCAAAGAAGGGACCCATCCCTCGCAGAAAATACCACAGTTGAGGTGCCCCCCGCGCAACCCTGTAGTAACGGTTACAGCGTTGCCGGGGGGTTCCTCCATAAATGAGGTAATGGCGAAGGCCAGGCTCCGGGTCGATCTCCAGGAGATCGGTCTGGAGCCTGGTGCGTTCAAAATAAAACGCGCCAGAAGTGGAGGGGTATTGTTGGAGATCCCTGGCCAGGGTGGTCGGGACAAGGCCGACCGCCTGGCCAGGGATCTGCAGGATGCACTGCATGGGGAAGCTGTAGTCTCCAGACCGGCGAGGAAGGTGGAACTCCGTGTCGTCGGCCTGGAGGACTCGGTTACCCCGATACTGTTGCGGGCGGCGCTATTAAAAACGTCGGGTTGTCCTCCGGACGATCTCCAGATCGGAGAGATTAGGAGATCGTCCGGAGGACTAGGGGCAGCTTGGGTTCGGTGCCCTCTAGCAAAAGCTGTCCAAAAGCTGTCGGCAGCGGGGGGAATTATCGTGGGGTGGGCGAGAGCCATGGTGAAAGTACTGGAGGACCGGCCCCTCCGATGCTACAGATGCCTGCGATATGGACATATGGCAGTGACCTGCCAGACCGATAATGGTCTGGCGGGTCACTGCTTTAGATGTGGGGGGGCCGGTCACGTGGCGAAGGGGTGCACCGAGGCAGTTCGGTGCCCCCTTTACCACCACGAGGGGAAAAGGACGGACCACCGTATGGGGGGCATGGTGTGCAGGGCGCTTCCCAGGTCTGCCAGGTCTGCCCCGAGAGGAGGGGCTCCTCCCAGGAGGAGAAAAAGGAAAAAGAAGGCAGCACGTTGGGGGGCTGCGGCTGACGAACAGCTGCGGCCCCCCGACGGTGCCGCCAATAAGGAGAAAGAAAAGAAGGCACCGGTCGCCGGTCCGGATACGGCCGGATACGGCCGACAAGGTAGGGACGGGTGACGGAGGCTGAAGCAATTCATCCTCCGTCATCAACAGTTCAGGTAGGGCTTGAGGCAAGAGGAGCGACGGCCGTTCCTACTGCGCCGGACCCTCCCTCGGCGGTTAGACCGAGGGAGGTCTCCGAGGCGGAATCGATGGAGGTGGAGGCCTCTGCATCCCTCCTGGCGGAGGTGGGGTGGGAGGAGTGGGGTGGCAATGAGCAGGAGTAGCTCTCCCCACCCACTCCCTCACCCCAGACCCATGGGATCTGCTGGTGCGGTAGTGGCCTCGAAGTGTTAGAGGCCCCTGCACCGGAACACATGGGCCAGGTAGGAGCGGTCGGGGGTGGGCCGACCCCTTGTGGGAACACCCCTGACCGCGCCAGGAGGGATAGCCTCCCCCCAGGGTGAGAACCCTGAATCCGCTTCTGTTGCGGAAGTGGAGGGAGCCCTGGGGGGGAAGAGCCGCTCCCGGGAGGGGGTAGTTTCCCCCTCGGTTCCGCACCGAGGGGGAGTTGGGGTGGTCCGGTTGGGACCCCATACCTTCCTCCCCCGTGGGCCACCTTGTTGTGGTGGGGAAGCTTGCGTGTCCCTATGATGTACAGAGCTGTGCCGGCGGGGGTTTCGGCCCCTGGCAGGTTCTACCATGCCGGAGTGGTCTGTACAGAGGGGCCAGACTAAGAGCGTCCATAACACTCCTGGATGGGCAGCTGCCTCCAAGTTTTAGCAGGGTCTGGAGGGTCTCATTCGTGGGGCCTAAAGGATCTTACAGCGCGGGCAGAACGGGCTCGTGAGTTGGGTGAAGGCAACCGTTCTAGGGGAAGGAAAACCCTGACTGCAAACCCGTACTTGTCAGGACGTATAACCTGACACAATTGCGAGGGGCCAGGGTACTTCGGCACTCTGGTACAGGGGACTCAGGCAACACCGACAGACCCTAGCCTACTACACCGTAACCCTAGGTCAAGTCTCTGGGGCCGGGAGTCTTGCCTTAATTGGCCGGACCGCGAAGCAAGTCCTCTATAAAACACCACGTAATCCTACGGTTGAGGCATGCCACGCTTAGGGGATGAATGGCAGGTACGTGACCCATCGCTAGTGGTTTCTCACTTTGGGCACCTAGCGAACCCAAGGGACATGCTAGCCTTACCCCGGTTAATGCGGGGGCTCTACCCGGGGTCGACGACCCATTCCCGCCGAAACCGACCAGAAATGAGATCTCCTAAATTAAAAAAACTAAACTTCTCCGAGTCTTCGGACTCAGAGAGTCCCGAAAAGGCGGGTGTAGCAACCCGCCTAAGGGCTCACCACCTGCCTCGGCAGGTGATATTTTGTCAGAAGAAGAGAGAGCAGGAAGAATGGGCAGAGATTTGCCGGCGGGTGCCATCTCCCCTCCCCCCAGGGAGAGAGAGCGGATGGACCTCGGAGGAATAGCCTCCGGGGAACCATCTAATGAGGGTAGTCCATCCCCCTCAACGACCACTAGCGATAGTGGTCGAGACTATCGTCCTCACCGGAGGATTGATAGGGTGAGCTCTTCGCGGAGGACCACGAGAGCGGCCACCCAAGGGACCTTGGCATGTCCCTGGGGTCCGGAGTCCCTGCGGGTGAGGGGACGCCGGTACCAGGGGCCAACAAGCCCGACCCCCTCCGTATGAAGAAGATGCAGAGGGAGTCTGTCCTCAGCAACAGCGAGGGGGCACTTGGGGCCAACTTGGGAAAAGAAGGATGTGGGGACCGGAAAGAGAGGGGAGGAGTCGGGGGCGAGGATCGCGGGGCCGGTCGTCGTCACCGACATACTTCTCTCTCAGGGGTTAAAGTTTCAGATCCGGAGAGCAGGAGAGCCCCCCTGCTCTAGGTTGCAGCAGCGCCTTCGCTGCTGCAACCTACAGAGGCGAACAGGGGGAACAGCAGTGTGGTCACGGGGACGAAGAGGGGGAGATCTTCCACCAGTGGAGGATCCACATCGGCGGTGGAGATTGTGGAGGGCCCAGCCCTGGCCCTTATACAAGCCGAGAAAAAAAGGGGAAGACGACCCACGACCGGTGAAGGAGTGGGGCTAAGGGAGAGGAGAGAGAGGAGGGTAAGGGAGACAAAAGAAGAGCGCCTCAAGAGGCTGGAGAAGGAGGCGTGGAGCCTACTGGATAGAGGGCTCTGCCATACTCTGGCGGACAAACGCCCCGCTGAGGAGGTTTTTAGGGATATCTCTTCTCTGAACCTTCTCAGGGGGGAGGGTCCGGCGGAGCTGGACGATTAGGTGGGTTGGGCTCTGGGAGCAGTCAAGCTGGTGGCGAGACGTTCGAACACGCTCAAGGGGACGTTCACCAGCTTGCTGAATCGGGCCACTAATACCACCACTCAGGCAGCCATGACGACTCTGATAGCCAGAGCAGCAGCACAGGAAGTTGGAGGAGCGGAGAGGCCAGAAGTGATGAAGGAGATAGAGGAGCTGAGGGAGGGAATCAGGGAACTGCGGGCGGAAAATTTGAAGCTCCAGGAGGAG